TCCAGGCTTAAAGTTGCCAAGGTTGGAGAGCCCTGTCACAGAGGGAAATCGGGCTAAAGCCGGCTGGCGAACCCACCTGCCCCGTTATCCCTAAACTCTTCGCCTTGCTCTCCAACATAGAGGCAGGGGTAGAAATTATGAGACGATAATGAGGCGTCCTGTTGAAACCACTGATTGGTTCCGCGGGCGAGAAGAGAGCCAGTACCGCAGCTGGGCTGGGCGCGGCGCATGCGTGATCCCTCTCCGCCCGGTAAGTTTTGTTTAGTTTATACTTTATACTGTGATCTTTAAATCTCCAAAAGGTGATTTCTCTAGTCCTACCGATCTCTGAATCTCTGTGGAGATTCTCAGTCATGCAGATCATGGTTGTCCCAAAAGGTGCTTTTTTTTGTTTTTTTTCTCCCCAAAGAGGTAACTGAACTTTCTGGGTTTGTTTTGTTTTGTTTTGTTTTGTTTTTTGGAAGACGTTTCGCTTCTCATCCAAGAAGCTTCTTTAGAGCTTTTCTTCAGCCCTCTCAAGTTTTCCGAACCCACCCTGGATCCAGTAAGAGCTGTAGAAGCTTCTTGGATGAGAAGCGAAACGTCTTCAAAGAAAAACCAGAAAGTCCAGCTGCCTCTTTGGGGGGGGGGGGGAGAAAGGCATCTTTGGGGACGATTCTGATATTTTTGGCTGCTCTTCGTAGCCAAAAAAGGTGGCTTAGTGGGTTTCCAAGGCATCTTTTTTTCGTCTTGTGATGGGGATGTTTAAAACACCGAGCGGTAGTAAAAATTCCTCCGGCCCCCGAAGGGACGCTCGCTTTTCTTTCCCAGGAAAGAGCGACACCCTCAGAGGGAGCTTTTTCGCAAGTCAAGAAACTACTTTCCGTACGGGAGTTTGGCTTTGTTGTTGCTATGGGCGATGATCTTGTACGTAGTCCGGTCTCGTTTCCTTTCCCCTTCCATTATAGAAAAGCGGAAGGTTTTTATAAAGTCCGAAAAGGCTTAATGGACGTTTCCAAGGCTGGATAAGTTTCAATTAGGTTTCAAAGTTCTAACAGATTCTGTAACAGTTTGTTCCCTCTGGTAAACTCGCAAGATTCGTTTTTCTCGCCATGTACATCTGAACTAGTCTGTGTTGTTTCTCTGTGTCATATATGTGGAAATGTGCATAATTTTGTATTTTGTAATTATGTATTTATTTATTCCTTCTGTCATGGTTATGTTATGTAGTGTATACTGGAGTTGGTGACCCTTTGAGGGCTCTATGAAACAAAATTTCATTTTAATGTATGCTGATTAATGTACATTCAAATTGACCATAAAGTTATTCTATTTCTATTTCTATTTCTATTTCTATTTCTATTTCTATTTCTGTTCTATTCTATTCTATTCCATTCCATTCCATTCCATTCCATTCCACTCCACTCCATTCCATTCCATTCCATTCCATTCCACACCATACCATTCCATTCTGGGGTGGGATTCAATGGGCATTACTACCTGTTCGGTGATTACGTTTTGTTGCGCGCACGTGTACTTTAACCTTAGGCTGTGCCACCCGGACAGCTGAAAAGCGCTGCGCGCAGGTGCGCAGCATTCAAAAAGCCGCTTTTTCCCTGCTTTTTCAACCTCAGCTGTGCCGCGCAAAGCAGCTGAGGTTGAAAAAGCGGGAAATAAAGGACAGGTAAGAGCCTGGGTGGGCGGGTGGGCCAAACAACAGTAAACACAGAACCGGTTCAGTATCTGCTGCTCTTCAGAACTACCGGTTCTATAGAGCCGGGCAGAACCGGTAGCATCCCACCCCTGATTCCATTCCATTCCCATTCCCATTCCCTTCACACTGTGGGCTACAATGTGGCTTATTCGTTTCTACTTCTGCAGGAAGTGCAAACCCAGCCATTGTGGTTAACACAGTTTGTTATGTGAATCCAACCAGCCCTGATTATGTGCCATGAAGTTGGTGTTGAATCTTAACAACTACAGATAGTCCTCGATTTACAACATTAAGTTTAGTGACCATTCAAAGTGACAATGGCACTGAAAAAAGAGACCATTTCTTCACATGTACAACCGTTGCACCCTCCCCATGGTCACATGATCAAAATTCAGATGCTTTGGCAACTGGCTCGCATTTATGATGATTGTGGTGTCCTGGGGTCACGTGTTCACCTTTTGCAAACTTCTGACAAGCAAACTTCTGGGGAAGCCTGGTTCACTTAACAACTGTGTTGCTAATTTAACAACTGCAGTGATTCACTTAACCAATGTATCAAGTTGTAAAATGGGGCAAAACTCACTTAACAAATTTCTCACTTAACAACATAAATTTGGGCTCAATTGTGGTTGTAAGTTGAGGACTACCTGTATATAGATATATATTTTCCCATGATGATCTGTCCATTAGTCTTTAATCTGTTTCTAGATAAAAAAAGAATTAAGGAATACTATAAACTTAGATTTGTGCATGTGTATTGTTGAAACAGAACCACTACTATTTAAGTGTATGTGAATCAACTATGTATTTAAGTTATGTGACTCAACTATGTACTTAAGTGTATGTGAAGCAACTATGTAGAATGACTTCTAAAGAACCTTACTCAACTCTTCTCCATGCTATTCAGCCAGCAGTTCTTGAAGGACAGCTGCAAAAATGGATAAAGACCAACTCCAGGAACCCAACTCCATCTACTCTAGTATGCTTCGTGAAGATACAGTCCTTGTAAATGATTCAGATAAAAATGCTACCGAAGGCAGAGATACTTCCGCAACTGTACTTCCCAAAGATCCCTGTTTTCTTGAAGATAAAGATGCTACCAAAGACAGAGATACTTCAGCAACTGTACTTCTCAAAGATTCCTGTTTACCTGAAGATAAAGATGCTACTACTGAAGGCAGAGATACTTCCGCAACTGTACTTCCCAAAGATTCCTGTTTACCTGAAGATAAAGATGCTACCAAAGACAGAGATACTTCCGCAACTGTACTTCTCAAAGATTCCTGTTTACTTGAAGCTTCAAAACATCTGGTTGGCTCAAAAAGCAAACAGAAACCTTATCATGAACTGCCACCAGCATATGTACTTCCTTACCTGGTTTTAATCAAGAATTGTCTTGATTTGCCATTTCCCACCATCAAGAAACAATGTCTCACAGGAGAAATACTGTGCAAGATAGACTCTTTAACACTGAGGCGCAAAAAGAAAAAATCACCAACTTCACTTGAACTAGCAAAAGTACCAACACTTCAAGGTTAACTTGTCAATTGCAATTTAGAATAGAATAGAATAGAATAGAATAGAATAGAATAGAATAGAATAGAATAGAATAGAATAGAATTCTTTATTGGCCAAGTGTGATTGGACACACAAGGAATTTGTTTTGGTGTAAAACAAATACATTTGTCAAGAATCATAAGTATAACACTAGTCAAAGGGTACAAATAAGCAGTCAAATCATACTAGGAACCATAATAATAAGTGATCAAATCAAATCATACTAGTAAACAGTCAATAAAAAATCATAAGGATACAAGCAACAAAGTTACATTCATGCAGTCATAATTGGGAGGAGATGGGTGAAAGGAAGGATGAGAAGATTAATAGTAATAGTAATGCAGACTTAATAAATAGTTGGACAGTATTCAGGGAATTATTTGTTTAGCCAAATGATGGAGTTTGGGGAAAAACTATTCTTGTGTCTGTTTGTTCTGGTGTGCAGTGCTCTATAGCGTCGTTTAGAGGATAGGAGTTGAAACAGTTTATGCCCAGGATTTGAGGGACATCAAGTGGAGATGAGTAAAGCATTCAAATTAATAATCAGATTAAATGAAAATATGGGGTGATAATTTTCAAAATTTAAGTATGAAAGTCAATTTTCAAGCCCAAACAATAAAGTAGGGATCCTTTTGAAGTCATGGAGAACTCCTGAATATTGTGTTGTGAATTATAAGAAAAGTAAAAGATTAAATTAAAGAAACAGCCCCTGATTGGGAGAGTAGCTGTTTTGTAATTTGAGCGAACCTGGAGATAAATATTTAAAGTTGGAAGGAACTAAGTTTGCCATAAAACAGATTTCTACTTAGAAGTTAGCAATAAATTTCCTAGTTTCCTGAAGTGTGTCTATCTATAGTTTGTGAATCTCACTCCAAACCTGTCTGTCTTAATCTAATTGTAATGACCATAGATATAGTAGCTAAGAATTCTAGAGTAGCTCTCCCAACATATGTGGAGGATGCCCTGCTTCAGAGCATTTACATAACCCATAGTTTCCAACCTGATTGCCTTCCAAATGTGGAAAGACTTTAGCTTCTGAAATTCTCAGAAATTGTCACACTGGCTGGAAAAAAACCTGGGCCTAGATTGAGTAGGCGTGAGTTAAACTTTTAGTTTCACATCAAGCTTTGCCTAAAATTTAGTGATTGAAATAGAAGTGGCATTTCATTGGAGGACAGGATTGAATGTGGTCACTTAAGCTTGATCTTGAGCTCCCATCTCCTTCAGTTCAAGTTACAAGTGGGGAAAGTAGCCTCTACTATCTGGAAATGCACGTATGAATCAGTGATAGTATTCAGATTATTTTACTATCGGCTCTGTGGGCATGGCATGAAAAGCATGGCATAGCTTGGTGGGCATGGCTTGGTGGGCATGGCAAAGGAAGGAGATTGCAAAATCTCCATTTCCTTCCCAAATTCCTGGGGGAAGATTACTGCAGAATCCCTATTCCCTCCCCACTCCACTAACCTGCTTTCCAGCTCCTTTCTCCTGTTCAGGGCAACAAAAGAAGACCCATCCGATCAGCTGGGACTCGGGAGGCAGAGAATAGATGGGGGCGGGGCCAGTCAGAGGTGGTATTTGCTGGTTCTCCGAACTGCTTAAAATTTCCGCTACCAGTTCTCCAGAACCTGTCAGAACCTGCTGAATACCACCTCTGGTATGAATAGAACCTTCATGCAGGTCCTTGCCAGCATGGCTGGTGATGCCAGGTATTAGGATTTGCAATTCTGCAGTATCTGGAAGGCTTTTCCAACCCTAGCTTTGCAAGAACAGAATTGTATTACTAAGCTCGTTCCTCCTTTGAATTCTCAAAAAAGAATTCAATAAGCTACCTAGCAGCAATAGGCTATCTGATGGGTCTGGCATCTGCAGTGTCATAATAATGTTTCGGCATAATATACAGGAAATATACAGGCATAATATACAGGAAAAAATATTCACTAATACAATGTAATCTGATATTCTGTATTTTTCTCTTTGTCTTTGTTTAAAGAAACAAAATACGTAACTTTTGAAGGTCTGGAGGACCTACAGTGGAAATTATTCAAAGGTCTGCTAAAACGAAAGCCAAAAACAGTGGGAATTTGGAGGAAAGCACATTACACAAAGAAACCTGTCACAACTGTTATTCGTGAAGCAAAGGAACATATCCTTCCCCTGCTACCTAAAGACTGGATAATTGATGAGTCCCTCAAATTTTCCAAGGAAAAGATTTTTTCCTTCTTTTTAGAAACTGAGTCACCTGTGAATATGTAGCAGTCCCTGAAGTTCAGGAAGAATATGTAAACAAGCAATAAACAACACATTGTGTTGGACATACAGTGTGATACCATTAAGTAATTTGCTTATTGTAACATAAAATAGGGCTATTTTGGTTTCCAGCAGTTGTTGTTTTAAACTACAGTAGCCTGTTCTGTTATTCTATGCCAATTTATAAACTCTCATGATCTGGTGTTGTCCAGGTGGATCTCATGTGGAATTCAGAAGTTGCAGCCCCATCTCTCACCCCCCACTAGGTAGGCCAGACAGGAAATCAATTCCACTGGAAAGCTACAACTATTTTTATTGGAATTGGCTATGAAAACAAACTTTTGTGAGTATGATAGTGCTATTCCTCCCCTCCTCTTTATAGTTCAGTGAATTAGAGAGGTGTCTCAGTTGTCTTCAAACATAATCTGGATGTTCTGGGCTTAAATAATAATTTAGCTTCATTTATCTAAGTAACAGCACTTATATATTTCCATCAAGGTCATCTTTACTCTCTACGCCACCAGAGCTTTAAAAAAGTGCTGCATTCTACTGGAGAATACTGATATTTGATCTTGCTGCTTGATTGCAGTTTGATAGAAGTAAGGGCTATTCTGCTGAATGCTGTGCAAACACCTACACAATTCTTTTGTTTGGCAGATCTAAAAAGACTTGTTGGAAGAGCTAGAGAAGTAAAGCTCTTAGAATTCAATATAAAAACCATATTCTTGGCTATATCTTTGATGTATGACATTTTTAGATCAGATTAACAACAATCCCTATATATATTGATAAAAAGTCTATTGTAGTCCTGTAAGCATATATGTATGTATACAACATCACTAATAAACGCAAGTGCTTAACTGTGGTATGCTGACACTATTATGAATGTACTAGTGGGGGAAAAAATGGAGGTAGAACCATGGATATGTCTTAAGGAGCTTATGGAAGAATGACCTGTTATCTGAGAATAATATCCAGTGTTGTGTATTTAGGGATGGGAGAGATGGCTATCTATTGCTATCTATTTCTATCTGGTACAAGCAGCTCTTTTTAGTTACCCTATGTTCGCTATTCAGGCTGATCAAGGTTTAGATACCAATTCCCTATGTCCCTATCCCAATGTCCCTATCTGAAGCACACTGGTCATAGAAAGGAAGGCCAAGGAAGTCCACATTGAACAAAGTTGGGCAGTCGGTGATTGGTCTGATATCCTTTATTTGGAATCCTCTTAACTCCAGGACCCCCAACCTCCGGGCTTCAGCCCATTCCTAGGCCTTGAGCTATTTGGAACTGGGCCACAGAAGTGGTAGGCGAGCACACACACATCGCCACTTGCATGAGCAGTGGGCAAGGTGTGCTCGTGCAAATGGAGCTGTGAGCCCATACTTTGCCTGCCACTTAAAGCAGAATTGTCTCCTCTCCCCCGGCCCCCGGGTTGGGCCACAAAATGGAAAGATTGGGGGACCCTGATCTAACTCATTTTATCAATTATTTGCAAAAGTGTCCCAGCCACTTGACAATATCAGGTAATTCTCATTAAATGAGGACAAATCAGGACTTGTAACATTGTTGCTAAGTGATGCATTATAATGTAGGTTCCACCGTGGCTGTAAAGTATAACATGACAGTAACTTATTGTTTAAATTAAAAAAGAAAAGTTACTAATACTGAAGGTTTCTTCTTGGTTAATTGAGGAACTCCTCTAAAGCTTTTTGGTGTGAAATCACTTAATTGCTCATTTCTGAATTCCAGAGCTTGATAATGCATGTACAAAACTATCCACTACATGCCTCTGTCCTCTGGCTTCCCTGCCTTGGCTCTTGATTCACTGACCTGGGTCTGTCTCTGCTGGACTGTTTTTTCTTGATTAGCAACATTTCACCTGGGCCAGTTTTTGGTTTATCTGGTCTAAATTAGGCCGCTTAGCAGCCTGGTATGTCTATATTTTCAGATAGCTTTGTTTGTATGCTTTCTTGCTCTGCTTGATATCCCTCCACATTTTTCCCCTTTTTCCTTATTAAGTTACAGTACTGACTTCTGATAGTCTATGATATTTATACCATCTGAGTAAAACTAATGAACCCATAAGCACCTGGGTGGATTTCCTTAATTAAGATGTGGCCTTGCAGAAGTTGGTGATGGCTATAGCCCCATCAATCTAACATCTAACCAGAAAGTGATTTGACTGTAACAATGGATTCAACCCTTCCAGAATACTTGGAATATGCTTTAAGGAAAATACTAAATCTGTTGAATGGACACCTGTGTGCATTGTGCCAAGTTTTACCTGGGATGCAACCAGGTTGCTATAGAGGTAATGGACTGCTGAGTCATCCCTAGAACCTATCCTCAGGATTTGAAGATTGCAAACACACCGTCACCAGCTTGATCAAATCCAATTTCAGCCTCCTGTGAGATCAATGATTTCAGGTAGGAATACTGCAGCAGAGTGAATGGGACACCAGTAGTAATGTCCCAAACTTTAATATTTTTTTCCTTGAATGCCCTTTGATGTTTAGCTTTCACTGTCTTGGAAAAAGTACCGTAGACCAGTACAGTACTGTTGTACTGTTTTAGACTAGTTTTTCAGAGGCCAGCAATGAGTGTCTTTTTTCTCAGAGTGTATCTTCTTTAATGGCTTTATTAGACTTTTTATGTTATTACAGGCTAAGCAATTAGGTAAGTGCTTGAAATTTTTTATTTTTTCCGTGTATAGGATTAAGATGAGAATCTTACTGTGCTGAGAATATTCTTGAGTGTCCTGCAATTTTACTCAGCTATAAAGACTGCATAAAGGGCCTACATTGCTTTAATTGAAGGAATTGTAACTGATCTACTGAAACATTTGCAATTTTATTCTGATAGAAGAGCAAAAATATCAGTTTTCTTTTTCTAATGGCAGTATAGAAATGCGTGCCAAGAACTAATGATAGAAGAGTACAGTTTACTCAGAACACCATGAAACCTGGAGACACACACACACACACACACACACCTTACCATATTGTATAGTATATTATTTTACAGATAGTTTTGACTTAAGTATTTTTGACTTAAAAGGCTATTATAATTGTAAGCTTAGGTTTATATAATGCTTTAAAGTGATTTGCTTAATATGTTGTGGGAATCCAATATTAGTTAGTAAATACTGCTTTGGGTTTATTTAGTGGGTTAGGTTTATTTATTTAGGTGACCCCCCCCCCAGTGAATTTGTTTATTCAATAAACCTAGTTATATCATATTTTATCATGATATCTAATTTAAAACTCTAAGTGAGCATTGTATATGTCCTTAAAAGAAAGTGAAATTCTACATATGAATAAGGGCTTGTGACTGTATATTATACACAAATATAGAATCACTGCAAATAATTGTGCTGCTGTCTTATTGATGAATATATAATTACTGCAAAACAATCTCTTATGCAAGATTTTAATCAATATGTTTGATTGAAATACTATATACAACTTAGAACAAACCATTACTTTGACATATCCATATTTATGACAGCAAGTGTAAATCTAATTAATATAGTATTAATTAAATCTGCAGATTCAGTGGTTATTTTCATGATAAAATATGGTTTAATGAGCATTTTTAAAAGTCTGTATGGGTGTGTATTTAATTAGAAGAATCTATCTTTTGAACTGTATTGTTGCCTGTCTTCATCATTGAACTTGCAAGCAAAGAATGTGAAGTTATTAATGTAAGCTTTTTGAGTAAAATGGTAGAATATAAAAGTTTAAAAAAACCAAAACACCATCCATCTATTATGCTAGGCTAGGGCATAACAAAGTAAACCAAAAAAATTTTTAATATTAGGCTGGCCAGCAGATGGCAGCAGACATAAAATTTTGCGCAAAAATCATTTGCCGGTCCATGGGAAAAACATAAAATCCAAAGCTGGATGACAGCTTTATTGAGATAAACAAAAACGATACACAGGGGTGTGACTCTTAAAGCAAACCCTGTTGATCACAAAAGATCTTTAGCAGTAAAATAAATAAAATAACAAAAGGAACTGATTATTTTCATAGTCCTTGTATTGCAAGCTCATATTTGCTTACAGGCAGCTCTCCAGCTAAAGCAGCTCTCTAAGCTGTTTACAGAGTCAGCATATTGCCCCCAACAATTTGGGTTCTCATTTTACCCACCTCGGAAGGATGGAAGGCTGAGTCATCACCTTGAGCCTGGTGACATTCGAACTGCCAAATTGCACACAGCTGGCAGTCAGTAAAGTAGCCTGCAGTACTATACTCTAACCACTGTGCCACCATGGCTCTTATGCACTTATGCACCGCCCCATAATGTATCAGTAGCACTTATGTACTCCCATAATGTTTTACAGCACTCTCTGGGCACTTTATAAATGTGCCCCCAACAATCTGAGTCCTCAGGATCGAACTTCAGGCTGTGGGCAGAGATTGCCTGCAATAAGGTATTCTAACCATTGCACCACTAGAGATCCTTATGCTGCTATTAATGCTAAACTCATTCTTTAATACAGTGGCCCCCAACCTTTTTTGAACCAGGGACCGGTTTCACGATTATTTATTCTTCCACGGACCGGTACCTGAGTAACACGAGACTCCACCGCCATCGGGACGGCTCTTCATTCGAAGCTGCCCCCCCCTTCAACGAAACTAAGGCGCGAGCACCCAAACGCCGCTTTCCAACTGAAAACCCGGAAGCACTTTCCAACCGAAAACCCGGAAGCAACCGAAAACCCAGAAGCGCCGTTGAAACAAGATGGCGGTGCCCAAGCTTTGCGGCCCGGTAAAAAATGATCGACAGACCGGTACCGGTCCGGGGACCGGTGGTTGGGGACCCCTGCTTTAATACACATAATGGCACTGCCTATGTACATACGAGACCTAGTTTGGTGTAGTGGTTAAGGCATTAAGCTATAAATTGGGAATCTGAGAGTTTTAATCCACCTGTAGGGACAAAGTCAATTGTGTGAGCTCAGGCCAGTCATTCTCTCAGCCCTTGGAAAGAGACAGTGGCAAACCACTTCTGAAAAACCTAGAGCCAAGAAAACTGTAGGGATCTGAGAACTGGATACTATTGAATGGAAGGGGGAAAAGTACTATAAGAGACAGTAGGAGTTTGGACACACATAAACAAAATTTTATGATGTGGGATCACCATGAATATGCTCAGAATGCACATAGAAAGACTTGGAATACTAATTTAGTTTAGTTTATTGTCATTGCACCTCATACAACGAAATCAAACACCATCTTCAGTGTCCATCATGACCATGAAAATAAACACACACATCCTTCACACTCCACACATTGAATTGAAAACCCTGACACTACACCAACACTGCACTATACAGAAGAATTCAACAGAGCTACTGCCCTGGGATAGAACTTGTCAGTCTGTGTACCAGATGGTAATCGTTCAAAAATAGGGTGCCTAGGATGAGATTGATCTTTAAGAATGTTTTGAACTTTCTTAAGGCAGCGGGAGTTATAAAGCTCTTCCAAAGAGGGGAGAGGGCAACCCATGATCTTCTGGGCAATGACGTTAACCCTCTGGAGTGCTTTCCCATCTGCCACTGTGCAATTGGCAAACCATACAGAGGTGCAGTAAGTTAAGATACTCTCTATGGTGCAGCCAGGGGTGGGTTTCTACCGGTTCTGTCCACCTCTGTAGAACTGGTAGCCCTGAGGAGCAGCAGACATAGAACCGGTTCTATGTCTGCTGATGTTTTTGCCCACCCGCCCACCTGAGCTCTTACCTGACCTTTATTTCTTGCTTTTTCAACTTCAGCTGCCGCACAAGGCACAGCTGCAGTTAAAAAGGCAGGAA